ACAAACTGCTGCAGCCTTTCCTGACTTCTGTATTTTTTCTCATTTTGCTATCTTGACTACACTCTGATGTAACTTGGACACACATATCCTAGTTTACATCTGCATTAGAGGTTGTATTGAAATCAGTGGCACTCACACTGGTCTTGATGTAAACAAGGTTCGTTGGTGTCAACTCCAGTCGGAGCTAAAATGAGTTCCAGTTCTATGCTACTTCACTAAGAGTCGCTCACCATATTGGCAATGCACCTTGCCCGCATAACCCCACTCCCAATGCACTTGGTAATTTTAGATTCCGAACTCAATGGATTAAAACTCTCTCAAAGGTAAACATGCATTTTGTTTCAAACTCCAAAATGTGGTAAGCCAGCCTTACTGTGCTTGAGGTCTCCCTTGCTAATTTTGTTGATTGGGACCCTGGACGCGTGCCCCACAATCCTTCTCAGCCCTGCTATATCCTCAAATTCTGGGCACACACACCTCACACACAATTCTGTTCCATTTTAAGCTCTATCAAATCCCACAAAATCCAAGCTGAACGCAGCAGTTTCTGGTGGAGGGATTTATTGACAGAAGAGCTGAAGCTGGTGAATGAATCTTGGTGACGCTCCAGAAGGATATTCATGTGGTTTAGAAATTCTATTCCTTATATATCTATAGGGTATAATGTATACATGCATAAGTGCTGGTTCTTTGCCCCTCTTTAACCGCAGCTCATTCCAAATCTTCCCCCAAGGAATTAGAAACATTCTGCCGGCAGCCTGAATGCAATTGGCTCAGGATCAAAAACTGTGGTCAACCCACATCCTGCCCTAAGGCCTCAAGGTCTCAGAAAAAAAGCAGTCTAGAATTAAAAGAGGGAGAGGCAAAACGCCCTATGAAAGCCACCTCAGACATGAAATGCATTTATAAAACCTTAGTCAATTGGGGCTCCTCCTCCACAGTGCAGTGGGCCAGAAAAGCAGAACTCAGAAAGTTCCTTTCCACCTCACTACCTCTGAGGATGCTTGCCATAGATGCAGGCGAAACGTCAGGAGAAAATGCCTTTAGAACATGGCCATATAGCCCGAAAAAACCTACAACAACCCAGTGATTCTGGCCATGAAAGCCTTCGACAATACATTCCTTTCCAATGCTATCTCCAGAAGTAATTAGCTAAAATTTAATTACACATTTTAAATATGACTCTTTACTTTCCCAGTTTCTAAAAGTAATTCCATTTTTATATTTTTAAACTGATGCTATAAGCTGCTAACATGTTTTGGAGCATGCAAGGAACCAGTAAGTGTGTGTATGTGTTAATAACTGTAAAATAAGATGCAGGAAGCTAATTGGTTGGGAAATGCCTGGGGAGCAGACTGAGCCTGGGGCTTTTGGTTATGGTTACATTTTTGCTCAGGCTTGAGCTATGCAGGTAAAGAGAGACAGAAACAGAGAGAGGCAGCCAGAGTTTGGAGTGAATTCTTGCTTCATGACTGGATACAGCCCTCCAAGGTCATTTACCCGGCCCTTACTCAGGGTCAACCAAAATCTGAAACTACTTGAAAGCACACAACAACAACAACAACAACAACAACAACAACAACAACTCTCATCAGCCAAAAGCAGGCCTACACTTCCCATTGAAATACTAATAGGTTTATATTTGTTTAAATTGTTCTTTATTGTATTAAATGTTTTTTGAACTACAAATAAGATATGTGTAGCGTAGGAATACATTCGTGTTTTTTCAAATTTTAATCCAGCCCTCTGACAGTTTGAGGGACCTCGCCCTCTGTTTAAATAGTTTGAGGACCCCTGAACTAGTCAATGAGTCCGGACAATGTTTTTAACAAGGAGACAGTATGAATTTATATTTTATTGATTTGTTTAGTTTTTATTATATGTTATGTTTTTAATTGCATTTATGACATGGTAAGCATTAGATTTTGCCCTGTTAACCGCCTTGAGTTGCCTATGGGCTGAGAAAGGCAGCATACAAATACAGTAAATAAATAAATATTTGTTTATTTTGTCGTGTCAGGAGTGACTTGAGAAACTGCAAGTCACTTCTGGTGTGAGAGAATTGGCCGTCTGCAAGGGCGTTGCCCAGGGGACGCCCGGATGTTTTGATGTTTTATCATCCTTGTGGGAGGCTTCTCTCATGTCCCCCCATGAGGAGCTGGAGCTGATAGAAGGAGCTCATCCATGCTCTCCCTGGATTCGAACCTGCGACCTGTCAATCTCCAATAAATAAATAAATAAATCTATATAAATAAAAATGTAATGTTCGTTTGTGGTATTCACGGAACTCAAAAACCACTGGGTCAATTGGCACCAAAATTGGACACAAGACATCTAACAACCCAATGTATGTCCTTCACTCAAAAAAATTGATTTTGTCATTTGGGAGTTGTAGTTTCTGGGATTTATAGTTCACCTACAATCAAAGAGCATTCTGAACCCCTCCAATGATAGAATTGGGCCAAACTTTCCACACAGAATTCTCATGATCAACAGAAAACACTGGAAGGGTTTGGTGGGCAGTGTCCTTTGGTTTTGGAGTTGTAGTTCACCTACATCCAGAGATCACTGTGGGCTCAAACAATGTTGGATCTGGACCAAACTCTACATGAATACTCAATATGCCCAAATGTGAACTGGTGGAGTTTGGGGAAAATAGAATCTTGACATTTGGGAGTTGTAGTTGCTGGGATTTATAGTTCACCTACAATCACAGAGCATTCTGAACCCCACCAATGATAGAATTGGGCCAAACCTCCCACACAGAACCCCCATGTGGGCCTCAGCAACGCATGGCAGGGGACGGCTAGTAAATAAATAAATAAATTCACCCCTACTTGGGGCTGTGTAGTCAATCAACAGGCTGGCAAGCTATCCTGGGACAAATCAGTTTCTTCTGTGTGTAGTTGAGATTAAAATTAATCCCAGATGCCAAGTCCCAAAGGAAAAAGTAATTATTGTATATATTTTTGTTCGAATGTGGTTTAGAGCAGCTGGCATCGCTGAGCTGGCTGAGCCTTGTTAAACACCATGGGGAACATATTAAGCTGGCAAGCCGTCGGCTCGCCTAGGATCCGAATGGATCTGTAATTATCTTAGTGGGATCAATGTGCTTCCCGTAAAATCAACTACTCAGTGTCCCAGCCCCAATTACAAAAGTGTAAAGAGTCAGCCTTGAGGGGCATGCCATCTTCAAACTGCAGAGGCAGCAGTTCCAGGCACATTAGCTAATTGTGGCCAGCTATGCTTTTGCTGGCAATGGGACAGACGTGGAGCCCTGTGTTAAATATAGCTGAAGCAAGCATAGGGTGGAACACACAAGAGGACTCCAGTCCATAGCGATCACTCATCTATTTGTGAGGAAGATGGTAAGAAGAGACAGCTGGGGTGGTTGGTCAGTTTGAGCATTGGACTTATATTCCAGAAGTCGTGGTCCAAGACCTACAGAACTATGAAACCTACTCTCTTTCAGCCTGTCTTATACCAACTTTTCACAGCTGAAAACTGGGACTCATGTAGCAAAGTAAAATTAGAGTGTAGTCAAGACGACAAAAGTTTGTAATGAAGGAGAACACAACCTGCAGTAGTTTTCTTTGGCCTTAGCATAACTTCTGCCCCCTTCTTAACCTTCTTACCGATTTAATTGAGTACAGACTACTTTTGGACCTTGAATTTGGCTTGCAGCTTCCCCTAAAAGATTGTTTTCCTTTGGTCTCCAGATTTCCAGCAGTGGAGACGGGAGTAATGAAAATCGTTCACACCTAGAATGCATATTTACTGCATTCATATTTCCGGAGTATTTTGCCCCCTTTCCTTGGATGCTTAAATTCTGTTTTTTAAATACTCAACTGAAGGTTTCAGCAAATGCAATGCAAAAAAAAAAAAAGGGGGGGGAGCCAAAGGAGAATTTAATGTAGGGAATGAACATCTTGGAGGAAATGTCACATCCCAATTTGACAGGGACAGTTCTGAGTCTGTTTCCCTTTTTCCATCAGTCCACTGCTTTTAAAATGTCTCTATTTCTCTCTCCATTTTCCCCTTACTTCACTCACTGAGTTAAATGTCCAAAAATGAACACAATCTGGCTACCAGTATTAAAAAAACTTCTAAAATTACAACATCACAACAACAGAGAGGAAACAAACAAGGACATCTAATCACCCCTCAACAAAAGTTTGCCCCAGGCTCTGTCAGACCATTATATGCTAATCAAGGTGGTCTGTTGAAACATTCACACCTAGCTCCAGCAGACAAGAGTCCTTTGTCTCACCCTGGTCATTCCACAGATATATAAACCGACTTTCCTAGTTCCAACAGGATGCTTGCCATAGATGCAGGTGAAACGTCAGGAGAGAATCCCTCTAGATCATGGCCATATAGCCCGAAAAAACCTGCAACAATCCTGTCCAAAAATAGTTTGCACTATTGTCCAGAGTGGGAGTTTTTTCTCCCACCCTGGACATTCTAGGTAACTTGACATTAAGTCTAGCCATGTCTGACTCTGTGGGGTGGTGCTCATCTCCATTTCTAAGCCAAAGAGCTGGCATTGTCTGTAGACACCTCCAAGGTCATGTGGCCAGCATGACTGCATGGAGTGCCATTAGCTTCCTGCCGGAGCGGTACCTATTGATCTCACATTTGAATGTTTTCTAACTGTTAGGTTGACAGAAGCTGGGGCTAACAGCAGGAGCTCACCCACTCCCCAGTTTTGAACCGCTGACCTTTCGGTCAGTAGGTTCAGCAGTTCAGCGGTATAAGCCGCTGCACTACCGGTGGCTCCCGGACTATTCTACAGATATATAAATCCCACTTGTCTAGTTTCCAACAGACCTTACAACTTCTGAGGATGCCTGCCATAGATATGGGTGAAATGTCAGGAGAGAATGCTTCTGGAACATGGCCATACCGGCTGGAAAACTCACAACAACCCAGTTTACACTCAACTCAGCAGAGCGGAGGGAGAGCCTTACTTTTTTCAATACGCTTGAAACCAAATTTACCTGTGATGTTCTGCTTCTTCGCTGAGCTCCAGGTACTCTGCCACATCTTCTGGGGTGAGGACTGTTTCCCTGTCTTCCTCAAGTGATAGAGAGATGGAGGCTGCAGAAAGGTGGCTGTATGGCAGCGTGGGGATGGTCTGGCTTCCTTCCAGAGACTCACTGGCCGCTTGCTGGGAGTCTTTGTCCTGGTGCTGGGATGCCCGATCCAGGTCAGGATCCAAGTAGCAAGTGCAGGTACATCTGTCAAGCACAGAAACATCCCATCACACACATTCTGAATGATCCAAGCAACAATGTTTCTCCTATCACTGAATCACAGGATGATATGTTGTATCTGAAGCTAAAAATCATCCAGGAGCAGCCTGTGTTAAAAGCCCCTGATCCAGGGTGGGCTGTGTTTCATCTTGGAGAAGCTGGAAAAGATACAGCTTGAAAGAGGTAAAAAGCCCCTTTCTGGGCTGGAAAGAAGGAGAAGGAGAAGGAGAAGGAGAAGGAGAAGGAGGAGGAGGAGGAGGAGGAGGAGGAGGAGGAGAAGAAGAAGAAGAAGAAGAAGAAGAAGAAGAAGAAGAAGAAGAAGAAGAAGAAGAAGAAGAAGAAGAAGAAGACGACGACGACAGGGAAGAAGAAAGCTGGTGAAACCATGGATCATATCGTCAGCTGTTAGAAAATCGCACAGACGGACTACAAACAAAGGCACAACACTGTGGCCCAAATGATTAACTGGAACTTATGTCACAAGTGGAGCCCCTGGTGGCACAGTGGGTTAAACCCCTGTGCCGGCAGGACTAAAGATCAACAGGTCGCAGGTTCGAATCTGGGGAGAGAGCGGATGACCTCCCTCTATCAGCTCCAGCACCTCATGATGGGACATGAGAGAAGCCTCCCACAAGAATGGTAACACATCAAAACATCTGGGTGTCCCCTGGGCAACGTCCTTGCAGATTGCCAATTCCCTCACACCAGAAGCAACTTGCAGTTTCTCAAGTTGCTCCTGATACAACAAAAAGAAATGTCTCATTTGCTGTGACATACTGTGTTTTTGTGTCAGTAAAATAATAATAATAATAATAATAATAATAATAATAATAATAATGTCACAAGTACCACCTACCAGCAGTAAAGAATTTGTGGAATAATAATAATAATGTCACAAGTACCACCTACCAGCAGTAAAGAATTCGTGGAATCATAAACCTGCAAAGGTAGTGGAAAATGAACACGCAAAAATATTGTGGGACTTTCGAATTCAGGCTGACAAAGTTTTGGAACACAATACACCAGACATCATGATTGTGGAAAAGAAAAAACTTTGGATTATTGATGCTGCCATACCGGGTGACAGTCGCATTGAGGAAAAACAACTGGAAAATCTCAGCCATTATCAAGACCTCAAAATCAAATTGCAAAGGCTCTGACATAAACCAGTACAGGTGGTCCCAATGGTCATCGGCACACTGGGTGCCGTGCCAAAAGATTTCAGCCGGAATTTGGAAACAATAAACATTGACAAAATCATGATCTGTCAACTGCAAAAGGCCACCTGCCTTGGATCTGTGCACATCATTCGAAAATACATCACACAGTCCTAGACGCTTGGGAAGTGTTTGACTTGTGATTTTGTGATACGAAATCCAGCATATAGATCTCATTTGCTGTGAAATACTGTGTTTTTGTGTCAGTAGAATAATAATAATAATAATAATAATAATAATAATGCTGTGTACTAATCTTGTTGTGTTTCTAATAATAATAACAAGTAAAGGTAAAAGGCGAAAGATTTATACGATCTGAAGAGAAACCAGAGTTTGTTTATTTTAACTTCTTTTATACCGAGGGTTGTATGTTGTATGTATGACTATGTGTTAAATGTGTTTATGTGTTAAATGTTTTGATACGGCCAATAGGCCAATCAATAAAACGTATCTATCAATAAAACGTATCTATCTCTAACTCTCTAACAAGTAAAGGTGGTCCCAGTGGTGATCGGCACACTGGGTGCAGTGCCTAAAGACCTTGGCCAGCACTTGAAAACAATCTGTGCTGACAAAATTACCATCTGTTTGCTGCAAAAGGCCACCCTACTCAGATCTGCACGCATTATTAGCTAATACATCACATAGTTCTAGACACTTGGAAAGTGTCTGACATGGAATCCAATACAAAACCCAGCATAGTGATCTTGTTTGTTGTGTAATATTCTTGTTGTGTATCTAATAATAATAATAATACTTTATTTGTATGCCGCCTTATCTTCCCAAAGGGACTCAGGGTGGTTTCCAACATGTAAGGCAAACATCCAATTGCCGGAAAGACTCCCTGCCTCATGAAAAAGATATCTTTGCCAATTTGATTTGCATCCCCTCTGCTTTGATTTTTCACCAAAGACCTTCCTTCCTTTTTAGTTCAGCATTAATGAACTAGAATACAGGGGCCTACAATGAAAAGGGCTGTATGTATTATTTATTTTGTGTGCTTTTAATTACTAATGTCTTCAAAGCCGTGTCTTAACTCCCTTGATGTGTAATGCTTTTTAAAAACTTTTGTTGTTCATATTGTTTCAGATGTTCTGTTTTGTGCTGATATTGTAAGCTGCTTTGAATTCCATTTAGGAGAAATATGGGATAACAAGAAAACAAACAAATAACAGAAACCAGTTACTATATGGGCTTTAGAACTAACTGCAACAAATTATTTTGAAACTAACTTTCCAAGTTTTGTGTGGCAGACTATCTAGGGCCAACCCAACATGTATTTCCTGTGTGCGCATTTACATAAAAACAAAGCAGAAGACTCCTATCTTCTCCCTTTTGTTTTTCTTTTGTTATTGTGTCAGAAACAACTTGAGAAATTGCAGGTCGAAACACCCAGATGTTTCACCATCCTGTGTGAGCCTTGTCTCATGTCCTTGGGAAGTCTGACTTGGCCACAGTTGGTCCACACTCTGGTTACATCAAGAATAGACTACTGCAATGCACTCTACGTGGGGTTGCTTCTGAAGACTACCCAGAAGCTTCAACTAGTCCAATGCTCAGCAGCAAGGTTGCTCACTGGAGCTGGATACAGGGAGCGTACAATGCCCTTGTTACGCCAGCTCCACTGCCTGCCTATTAGCTTTCGAGCACAATTCAAAGTGCTAGCTTTGGCCTATAAAGCCCTGAACGGTTCTGGCCCAGTTTACATGTTCGAACGTATCTCCCGCTACGATCCACCTAGGACCCTGAGATCATCCAGGGAGACCCTGCTCATTGTCCCCCCATTATCGCAATCACGTTTGGTGGGGACAAGGGACAGAGCTTTTTCTGTGGTGGCCCCTCGGCTGTAGAAATTAGATCTGCTACATCCCTCGACTTTTCGGAAACAAGTGAAATCCTGGCTATGGGATCAGGCCTTTGTAGATTAGGTTGACCTGCTGACGTGACGGCTTTTATGGAACTGACTGACTACTCCTTGGACAATGACTTAAACCGGCGACTGTTGACTGTTTGATTGTTTTTATACTGTTTTATACTGTTTATACTGTTTTATTGCTATATTGTAATTTAAATTGTATATTTATTTTTTGGCTGTGGGCACCATGGGGTGCCTGTTTGTTAGCCGCCCTGAGTCCCTCTGCGGAGGTCGAGATAAGAGAGGGTTGTTGTTGTTCATTCATTCAGTCGTCTCCGACTCTTCGTGACCTCATGGACCAGCCCACGCCAGAGCTCCCTATCGGCCGTCACCACCCCCAGCTCCTTCAAGGTCAGTCCAGTCACTTCAAGGATGCCATCCATCCATCTTGCCCTTGGTCGGCCCCTCTTCCTTTTGCCTTCCACTTTCCCCAGCATCATTGTCTTCTCTAGGCTTTGCTGTCTCCTCATGATGTGGCCAAAGTACTTCAACTTTGTCTCTAGTATCCTTCCCTCCAATGAGCAGTCGGGCTTTATTTCCTGGAGGATGGACTGGTTGGATCTTCTCGCAGTCCAAGCCACTCTCAGCACTTTCCTCCAACACCACAGCTCAAAAGCATCGATCTTCCTTCGCTCAGCCTTCCCTAAGGTCCAGCTCTCACATCCGTAGGTTACTACAGGGAATACCATGGCTTTGACTATGCGGATCTTTGTTGCCAGTGTGATGTCTCTACTCTTTACTATTTTATCGAGATTGGACATTGCTCTCCTCCCAAGAAGTAAGCGTCTTCTGATTTCCTGGCCACAGTCTGCATCTGCAGTAATCTTTGCACCTAGAAATACAAAGTCTGTCACGGCCTCCACGTTTTCTCCCTCTATTTTCCAGTTGTCAATCATTCTTGTTGCCATAATCTTGGTTTTTTTTTATGTTTAGCTGCAACCCAGCTTTTGCGCTTTCTTCTTTCACCTTGAAAGAGGGGGTACAAATGACCTAAATAAATAAATACTAAATAAGCTGGAGCTGACAGATGGGAGCTCACCCTGTCTACGGATACAAACTGCCGACCTTTAGTTCAGCAGTTCAGCCAGCACAAAGGTTTAACCCATTGCCCCACCACGGCTCCTCCCTCTTGCCATAAAAGTATTTAATTATGCATTAGATTTCTATATCTCGTATTTTCTTCAATATCGAATTCCACTTCTCCCCCATTTCATCATCACATCAACATAGTAAGGATGGCCAGGCTAAACTTGTGCATCAATGCCTCAAGGTGACACAGTGATTTTCATATTTCAATTGGAATGAAACCTGGGGTCCCACAAATCTCAGGTCAACAAATTAGCCTGGACCACACAAAGGTCTACAGAATGGCTATGGTAGCTTATGACATTTCCAGGAAAGTGCCTCTACCCTGCTGTGTTTCCAATTCAAATGCATTAATGGAGTGCGTCCTGGACTGGCAGGAATCCAGTTTCCCAAGTGACTCTCTCCAAGCTGTGTTTCCATCTCTTGCACCTCTGCCACAATGTCAATAAATGAGCCAAAGCAGGGAGCTCTTTCATCATTTCTTCAGTGCCTTCTCTCCACTCCCTGCTCCCCCTTCTGCTGCCAACTCCAGAGGGTTTCTGATAACACTTGACTCTTCCATGTAAATGGATGTTGCCTGCCACCTACACATTAGACTCCTCTTTCTCCTCCGGTGACAAAGTGTGAAACACTAAAGGAGAAAGAAACAAAGTGCCTCCACACCTACTGATGGCCAAAGGTGACTTTAGCAAGGCTGTAGCTCAGTAGCAGAGCACATGCTTCGCATGCCAAAAGTGTCAAGTTCAATCCTTGGCATTTATGTTGAC